CTTTGTTCAGGCCGAGGGATAGATGACCATCATGGGTTTTTGACCCATTTTCCATTACTTTTCTTATCCCATTTGAAACGGGCTGAGCCACATCATGGCCCAAAATATGTTCCATATTATCCATATTATCCTGCTCCCCTTCATGCACCTCATAACCTGACCCCACACCAACCAAATCCTCATGATGACACTGTGGCGGTAATAAATTTTCTGTTTCAACCCCTAGTGTCTCCTCCACCATGCTAAGTTCCTTGGAACTACCACTTTCTCCACTTCCGCCTCCTACCTCATTAATGCACTCAGCAGAAGTCTCATCAACAATTTGAATTTTTTGAATTTCTTGGACTTTTCCAAGTGCCATGTCAACATCTTCTTCCCCATCATCCTCTTCAGACCAATTCGATTGACTTGATCGCCGGAAAACATGGCTATCATCATCAAACTCTTCTCCAGAGTAATGATCAGTGGACCATAGCTCAAGATCCTCATTATTCGAATTAGACTGAAAATCCAGATTGTAATCTGTTTTAATATTAAAGTAACCATTGCTCCCTTCCTCCTCTCTACACATAATGTTGTAGAATTGGCCATCCACTTTAATTCTCAATAACCTGGAAATAATGCTCAACTGAGTGGTTGAAATGAGCACTCTTGCCACATCAAACCTTTTCTTAAATCTGGTGCTATCATCAAGAGAAATGAATTTCCCCCACAAATTTGCAATAGTGGAGAAAAAATTATCTCCCCATGCTTTTAACGGAACCCCCATTATTTTTAGCCATACAAACCGATCACTAGCCACCATTGTGGAGGTCCAAGGAAGGATTTCATCGAACCATTGACTGAGCCATTCCGCTGCAGATTCCATCAAATCCTTAAGCTCTTCTTTGTCCTCTCCATCTAGTAACACCATTCTCCCCCCCATGGCTCTAACTTTAACAGAAAACAACCCTTCCATATACAAACGTTCTTGTATAACCGGTACTATCTCCACCGATCTTGCCGTTCCTACATAGCACCCTTCAAGCCACTTCCAGTTTTCATGCTTGGGATTAAACTCCAATCCTGTCCAATTTTGTTCTGAAGTTTTGGCCTTCCAGATTTGCTTTACTCCCCTGTTAGTTTCATTCATCTGCATCCTTGCATTCCTTCCGTTATGACCGGTCACCGCATCTGCATAGCTGCGTCCTTTGACTCTCATCGCCTCTGGATAGATGCTTCCTCTCCTTTGCATTTGAACATTACGCCTGTTCACCTCGTCTGCAACT